CCCCAAAACCCCAAAACCCCAAAACCCCTTTTAAGGATAATAGAATTGAATAGAAATTAATTTTAACTCTATTCTCAATAACTGACATGGTCACTTACTTAATAAAAAGTTGTCTTTAGTTTACCTCTCCTTTAATACTACTTGCTAATTTCTTGTTTAACCCTGAAATATAGTACTAATACTACTGCTGCCACTAGTGCAGTGTTTCTCAGAGTTTAACCTCTACAAGGTAATATTCAAACTTATCTTAGAAGAAAACGCAGCATCGTGACTTATGCTCATTCACTATCTGAGGAAGTGGATTTAAGTGCTCTCAAGAACAATGAGACGACGGAAATCTCAGAAATGGAGACGGATGCAACTCTTCATGCGAGATAGAGACAGGTTGGAGCTGATCAGGCAATCCCTCTGTAAGTTCATTTATTATTCATGTTTAGAGTTGCCAATCGATGTAAGGATTTTCCTCCCTGACGTCATTCGACCAATAATTTAGATGAGGTGATGGTGTCGTCCTTGGAAATGAAGAATGAGACGATGGCAACTCTGATAACGAGGATGGGTGTTCTTCTAGCTGCAGGGTTGAAATCGGGTAAGATTTTCTAATAAATAACAAAGGTATACTTGTACGTCCACTCAACCAACAATTTGCACTCTTAACTGCGGGAACTCTATGCAAGAATCTTTGGAAGAATGAGACGATGGTGGGCTTGTTGCTAGTGATGGTTGCAGTTCAACTTGAACAGTAGAGGAAGGCTGGGAATGTGACGGCAACTTCCCAACTAATTGCACTCGGCTTTGAGGTAATGGAAGATTTGATCCTGGAGAAGTATGAGATGACGGAGCTGAAGTAAATGAAGATGGATGAGATTCTAGCTGTCAAATCGAAGCAGGTTGGGAGTGTTCAGGGTTTCCAAGCAAATGCAACCTCATCTGAAGCAATGGAAGAGTTGATCAAGATGAGGAGTGAGATGATGGAGGTCTTATAAATGGAAATGGATGCTCAGATAAATGAAAAACTGAAACCGATTGGGTATGAGAAGGTTCTCCTTCTAAGTGTAAAATAAAAGTTCGAATTGAGTCATCCGAACAAGCAATAGGCAAATCAGTGCAAATGAGTATTACATTGGGAGTGTTAGCTTATCTGGTGGTATCTACAGTCCTTGGAACTGCTTTAGCTCCAATGTGGGCGATGATAAACGCGATGCAACTTATCAACTACATGGGCACATTTAGTCTTTATTTTCCAAAATCTATCATGTCGATGTTATCATTTGTTAATATTGCAAACATGGAAAATGAGTATCTTGCATCAATGTACCAGGCCCATCTAGACTCTAATTTATTGCATAATAGGACCTCCTGGGATCATAGGTTTGAGAATCAAGGTATAGAGAGTACTCACATTCTTCAGAATGGAGCAAGCATATTTGCAGGGATCATTCTTATGGTTTGATATTATACGATAATCGCTCTTCTTTGCTTCTGACTTGGAAAACACAATAAACAAGTAAGACACTTAAGTTTGCTAATTATACAGGAATCTATTAAGGATCTTAACTGTTGCAGAAGAGTGATTTCTAAATTTCGGAAAAGAGCTCATGAAATAAAGTCTGAGATCTTATTCAACTCAGCCTATAAAATATTTGAAGAACTATTCATTGATCTATGCTTTATAACTCTCTACCATCTCAAGAACATCAGATGGGAAAATTGGTTGGATTATTATGGAAACTCAGTCGCATTTGTATGGACCTTAATTATTCTATCTGTAATCATGTTTCTCCCGTTTTATTATGTCCTGTTCCCTAAAATATACTCTGCAGAGAGCATCGCTAAGTTTAGACTAAAAGTTCTAATCAACGATTATAAAGAAAATAGAAAGATTTGTATGTGAAACAGCATCTTGTTTATTTTCAGGTAAGAAGTCTTAATTAATATTTAGACGTGCAGTCATGGTCTGGATAGTTATACTTGGATGGAACAACGGCTGGAAGCAAGTTATTTTATTCTCTTTAATTTGTTTTATCCTTATCGTATTTAAAATTATTGTCAAGCCTTATAAGAATACCATTTTGAATCTCCAAGACATCCTGTTTGAGTTTATAATTCTGGGGCTCTCATTAACATTCATGGAGTTTACCAATAAATCAACTGAGCTTGCAAAAACAGGGAGACCTCACTTAATAGGTATGATTGGCTTTTGATTAGTAATCATGTTATGAGTGCTAAACTATGTGTTTACTTTCACGATCCTCGTCAAGCACTGAAGAGTTAAACCTCTAAAGAAGCAAAAAATAAAGCCTAAGAAGAAGCCATTTCATAAGTTTAGCATCAATTTTGCTAGAGAAATCTCTTCAAGCCAGATAGCCATTGTAAGATATTTCTTTCTATATCGACCAAAAAATAAAAATTACACCCAAAAAGGTTAAAAGGAGTTGACTATGAAATTTCTGAAAAGTCTAATTTAGATGAAGTCATTAGTCCAAGAGTCCTTATTTGTACAAATAATTTTGATTTGAATAGCACTATCAATTACTTTCATAGCCTGCTGAATTCCTTTAGGGTTCATTTAGAAATCGAATCAAAGTTATCTTTCACTATCCAAATTTCGAGCATATTATACATAATTGACTCAATTTTTGATATAGAAGAGAAACTCATCTCTACATAAGAACAATGAATTTATCAAAAGAAACCACCACAACTTATCGTAACCCAAAATCTAACCCTCACAGCAATTTAGGTCATTTCCATATGGTAAAGCCTGGAGAACGCCAAAACTCACAACCGAAAACCACTCCACCCCATCACCCTCTCCACCCCTACCCCTAACCTCCCATCCTAAACCTTAACCTATCTTTCTCTCTCACCTCCTCCGCCCCAACAATTTCCTTCCAAGTCACAGTATAAAGTCCTTAAGTCTCTCTTCTTTGGTCTCAACTTGAGGCCAACTTTCGAGTAGTTGAAATTTGGGGTGTTTAGAAGAATAGATTGGATATTTTCAATGTGGTATTGTTGACTTGGGGTTTTGGGGTTTTGGGGTTTTGGGGTTTTGGGG